AAATCCTCACAACTGGACCAATGAGCAGCATCACAATAAATGGAGAGAAGATTGAGGTTGTCAAAGAATTCACATTGCTTGGTTCTGCAATCAATGCCAATGGAAGCAGCAGTCAGGACATTAGACGACGTGTAGCATTGGGAAAGTCAACCATGAAGGAACTGTTTCAAGTGCTGAGGAACAATGATGTCTCCTTGGGGACTAAAGTACGCTTGATTCAAGCCATGATATTTCCAGTCGCCTTGTATGCATGTGAGAGCTGGACAATAAATAAGGAAGATCGAAGAAGAGTTGATGCTTTTGAGTTGTAGTGCTGGTGAAGAATGCTGAAAGTACCATGGACTGCTTAAAGAACTAACAGATCTGTCCAGGAGGAAGTGCACCCTAAATGCTCCTTGGAAGTGAGAATGGCCAGACTTCATCTCACCTATTTTGGTCATGTTGTCAGAAGGAACCATTCCCTGGAGAAGGATGTCATGCTTGGTAGCGTGAAGGGTTGACAAAAGAGGGGGAGGCCTTCAATGAGATGGATTGACACAGTGGTTGCGATGTTGGGCTCAAGTATAGCAGGGATCGTGGAGTTGGTGTGGGATTGGGCAGTGTTTCGTTCTGCTGTGCATGGGGTTGCTATGAGTCAGAAATGACTCGACGGCACCTAACAACAACATAAAATATATAATGGTAGATTGCAAACAGATATGGTTGAGATACTAGATGGAGATTTTCTGATAGCATGTTGTTGTTAGGTGCTGTTAAATCAGTTCCAACTTATATCAACCCTACATACAACAGAATGAAACACTGCCTGGTCCTGTACCACCTCTCAGTCATTGCTGTTTGAGCCTATAGTTGCAGCCATGGTGTCAAAAAACATCTTGTTAAGGGTCTTGTTTTTTTGCTGACCCTCCGCTTTACCAAGCATAATATCCTTCTCCAAGGACTGAGATGAAATCTTGCCATTTTCCTATCTAAGGAGCATTCTGGCTGTACTTCTAAGATTTGTTTGTTCTTCTAGCAGTCCATGATACATTCAGTATTCTTCTCCAACACTATTACTCAAAGGCATCAATAGTTTGTTGTTGTGAAAGGAGGTAGGCTTGGCCAGAGAGTAAAGCTTGGAAGCCAAAAACTGAGGGGCTGACTTAGGCTCCAGCCTAAATAAGGAGGTTAGTTGAAGAATGGTGTGTAGTAGAAACAAGAGTGAGTTTAGAGGCAGTGCCATTACTGTTGCCATAGAGTTAATTCTGACTCATGGGAACCCCATGTATGTCATAGTAGAACTGTGCTTCATAGAGTTCTCAGTGGCTGGTTTTTAAGAAGTAGATCTCTAGGCCTTCCTTCAGAGACACTTCTGGGTGGACTCGAACTTCTAACCTTTTGATTAGATTTGGAGTTTGGAAACCCAATGTTTGAACCCATGCTAAATTAGTTCTCACATGGAAAATAAAAATAACAACGCCTACCTGGCAGTGTTGCTATGAGGATCAGGTGAGTTAATGTTGAAAAAATTACCTATTAGAATAACTGGTGTATAGTTTCTTTCCATGTCCATCGGGTAAAAATGCTTTGTATTTAATTTCAGGGTTTTTACCCATAGCTCCATGAGAAACGTTTTATACAAGGAATCATGGACTGGAGACCAGGTGACTTGGAGGAAATTTAGGCTGAACACAGGAGACGCTTATAGTTAAGCTAGATTTACTGATTATACTTTCTACTTAAGTATGATTTGGCAGTCTTTATCTTGTAGAAACACAATTAGCATATTCTACAAAGCAGACCAGGAGAAGTATTCTGAAGAGTCACTGAAGTGGTCAGTCAGGAAACATAAAGAAGAAATGCCCAAGACACATTCTCCATGCTTCTTGGGTATACTCTAGTTCAGAAGTAGATCTATAGGCCTTCCTACGGGGAACTTTTGTGTGAAGGGGGTTTTTGTCCTTTCCTCTTTCCCTCCTTTTACTTCTTTACTTATAAAATGAAAATATCTTCACTAACTATCTCTCATGTGTTTATTAGGATAGGAAAAGTTGAAAGGCAAAAGAACCATCATATCATATCTTTCTTTTCTTTTGATATTCATTTTCAATTATGTGTTATATCTAGTTAGTCGCATACTTATCTTATGTCTCCTATTAGTATATAAGATCTTTGGGGGCAGAGACTGTCATTCATTCTTTTACCTTCAATACCTGTAGAGTTGCATGTTTTCTAGTTCTGAGACTTTCATGAAGTGTGATCTCACATATCATATATTGGTACATTTTTATCTTACAGGGATGCTGTTCAGATATTTCATCAATGGTAAAAGAGGCTCAAAAGAAAGTGATTCAAATTATACAGCAGGCTTTAAAGTATGTGGGACAATTAGTGGTTCTGAAAGGGAGCAAGCTACATTTTCTGGAAAACAGTAACAACAAGGCCATCAGTCCCCAGGTAATTTTGTTGTTGTTGTTGTTGTTGTTTGCCGTTGAGTTGGCCAGGTAATTTAGCAACATTATTTTTGAAAGCCTTCATCTGAGGGAACAGTACAGGTTGTTAGTCAGAATCACTAAACTTAACAAGTTCTTTTTATTTTTCAAAATAATGGTTTTACAATATGGCAATAAAATTTAAAACTGTTTTCATTTAAGTGGTCAAATGTACTAGATCATTTTAGAAACCTTCCTTTAACCAAGGAGGTTAAAAATGGATGATAGCAATCTACTATAGAGCATTTGCTCAGCCAGTCAGCACACAAATAACTGTGATTCTAGAAAATTAGTATATCCTGGCTTTAAGTATTCATGTTATTGAAAACATAGTATTATACAAGACTATTTATGTGTAACTGTTCTATCCACAGAGTATCCTGACTAAGACAATAAAAATTCTGTACAATATACTATATGTGGGATAAGCAGCCCTGGAGGCACAGTGGTTAAGCCCTCTGCTGCTAAACAAAAAGTTAGTGGTTTGAATCCATCAGCCACATGTGGGAGAAAGATGTAACCTTCTGCTTCCATAAAGATTACAGCCTTGGAAACCCCAAGGGATAGTTCTGTTCTGTCCTCTGGGTCAGATCAACTCAATAACAATTGGTTTGTCATGTCTGGAATACTTAAGTACAGATTACTAATTTTCTGTCCTTATATACTATTAGTTCTTATTCCAACTATAGGTAAATTTAATGAATTTGGAATGTATTATGGTCCCCCAAAAAAGCTAAAATTATAACTTAAATATTTGATAATTTTTATAAAACATAAAACCAGAATTTGCCTATTAATGCTTAAAAACTTTTTCTAGGAGGATTTTATGGATGCTATTTGTGATGGTATAGCCTTAGGAATGGAGAGTCTATTAGCTTCTGGACTGGAAAAAACAAAAGAACTTCAGCATGAACTCTTAAGGCAGTATACACAAAATGAGGTAAGGTGAATAAAAGAATGTTCTATATGGCACCAGACAGTATATAAGGTTGATTTGTGAAAAATAGTTTATCACCCAAATAATTAGTTTAGCTTAATTGGTAAAGAATGTCTGCCTTGAGCATTGTGCTCTTTTAAAGAATTATTTATATGGGATCAAACTGACAACAGCAACTTCAAAGGTAAAATAGGAATCATAGTGGGCAGTGATTGTCTGTTAATGGGGAGGAACAACTCAGAAAGCAGGATGAGGATGTTGCACAACTTGAAGAATGTAATCAATGCCATTGAATTGTACATGGAGAAATTGTTGAACTGGTGTGTGTTTTGCTGTGTATGTCTTCAACAACAAGAAAGAAAATAAAATATTCTTTAGAAAAAAGAAAAGAAAAGCAATGTTTAACTCAATCAATTAGCATTTTATAAATTTATATCTATTTTATGTTAAATTATTATTCTGGAAGAAGAGGCTGATGATATCATGGTGACATGGTCCCAAGTTATTTTTGAGTTAACTGCACCTTCTGTTAATATTTTGCTAAATCCTGTCACAGTGAAAATCCAGTCTGGATGAACTCCGAAGGAAAGAATTGAATGTGGTAGTGACATCTAGTGTTCACTGTTGTCATTTTCTTACCTTGTTTTTGTTTAGGTCTCTACTTTTTCACCTGGGAGTAGCAACTAACACTCAATCTCAAATCTCCAACTGAATATGTTGCCAGGGCATTCACATCAATTGTTTCATATCAAAATATAGAACTAGTGAAGGTTTGAGTGACTCCCTAAAATATGCCTTCTTTCTCACTCCCCTGGCTAACTAACACAAAGCACAAAACCAACGCTGTCTTAAAAGTGAGTTGTGACTCTGGATACTTAGTTTTGAAACCTGGCTTCCTCATTTTCGTGGTGTCATTTCACAAGTCACCTAATGTTCTGACCCTGTTTCTTCTCTTGTTACATGTACTAAGACCAATATCATAGGTCCCTGTGAGCTATTTATTTATTGAATAATTTCTCTGGACAGTTACTAGATTAGGCACTTTACATGAAATAGTGGTGAACCTCATAACACTGCAATGTAGGAATTACTATTATTTCCATGAGTTTCTTAAAGTTGGAGTACTTTGCCCAGTCATACAACTATAAAGCCCTGGGCCACAGTTGTAATCATTGTTCATGCATCAGTTGTTTTTGTTTCTTGAGCATAATAGTAAATGAAGTGGCTATGAGGAAGATGAGAGGTCAGATCTTCTAACAGTGACTTTCAGAGCCTTTTCTGTTCTCAAATTTTGTTATAACAAGTCATTGTTAAAGCTGTCTCTGCCCATCCCATTTCTCCTGCTGAACTCAAGGCAGCCAGGGGCAGAGCAGTCATCTGAATGGCATGGGGGACATAGAGCTTCCTGAGACATTCCCACCAGGAAGTCTGCTCATTTAAGTACATATTGTTTATCTAGGAAAGTAGATGTGAGGGACTGTTAACTTCCACCCTCTGAGTAATTGTTTCCAGGAAAGCATGGAGTGAGCTAGATCCCCCCACCCCCTGCCTTCTTTTTCTTTTTAGGGAAACTTTGGCATTATATACTTACAGTCACCTTAGCTGAGGAGAAACTCTCCATGTAAGCCAATGAGGTTCTCCATCCCTTTCCCCTGACTATTGGGTTGTATGGATTTATCTCTGCCCGAGAATACCACATAATTGGGGAAAGACACTGAACATTAAATTGCTCTCCTTCTTCTTGGATTTCCTTGAGCAACTTACCTGAGCCTCAGTTGTTCCATTTTGAAAAGGGGATGACCATGTTGTTGTTGTTATGTGCCATCAAGTTGGACCCAACTCATAGCAACCCCTCCTTGGGTTTCCAAGGCAGTATCACTATGGAAGTAGATTGCCCAACCTCCCTTCTGAGGAGTGGCTGATGGGTTTGAACCTCCAGCCTTCTGGTTAGCAGTCAAGTGCCTTGGGCATTATGCTACCAGAGCTGCATCATAACATTGTTGTGAGGACTGCATGAGGTGCTCTGGTGGCTTAGTGCCTAAGGTATTTGACTGCTAACTCTGGTTAGCAGCTGGTGGTTCAAATCCACAAGCCACTCCTCAGAAGGAAGACTGGGCAATCTACTTCCATAGAGATATTGCCTCAGAAACCCAAGGAGGGGTCTCTATGAGTCAGATTTGACTTGACAGCAATGAGTATATATGAAAATGCTAAACACAGCCCCTGGCAGATCTTAAGTCACACCACTTGCTGGTGCACATTGTCTTTTCCTCCATGTGTGTGTCTACCTCTCCCACTTTGTGGGATTTTTTTTCTAAACATAAAAACATATTTTAAAGGAGTTCATGCTTTCACTAAGACAAGATCATTGGATCTAATGATGTTCCAGTACATGAGGTTGATTTGGGCTCTATAGCATAGTTTTGAGGAAAGGGACACATTGGACACATTGGTTTGTGGAGGCTCATACACACCACTGCTGACATCTGAAACTTGGTTTTGCTTATCTGCATCATCACTTATCAGTAAAACACTTTCTCTGTCACTAGTTGCAATGCAGAATTTGTGCTGTTAGTGCACAAGGGCATAGAATAAGTTAATGAAAAAATGGAGATGAAATAATGTATGTGATTGTTCTTCATAAACTATAAAACAGTGTGCTAATAATGTTAGCTTTGGTGTTGTCTTCAGAAAATTAACAGAACATGGGTCCAGCTCATCTTCTTTACAACTTATATACTTGCATCTTCATGTAGCTCTCCACCTCCTTCCTCTCATTTTCTTTCTATAATATGTCATAGCTGTGTTTTGTTGTTCATGGTGAGTTGCTAGCTAACACTATTTTTATAAGTGAAAACTCATAGAATCTACAAAAGGAAAAAAGAATGTCCAAAGAGTAAAAGTAGGCTCAAGCATAAGGAATTAGGGTTATAATTTTAAAGCTGGGGTCAGGTGGAAAAAACCCTAAGACTTTGGATATTCGTGTTTTACCACATAGAGGAAATTTATGTTAGACCTAGGGAAGAGCTATGTGGGCCAAGTCAGTTAAATACATAAGCAGAATCCCTTGGCAGGAATTAAGCAAGAAATCATTTAGGGGGCAGCATTGAGCAGTACAAAAGTAAAGCCTTAGACGTTAGACAGCACTTCCACCCTGGTTCTGAGTCTTAGGAACAAAGACCTGGGACCAGGTACCAAATGTCTTGAATCTGTTCCCTTATTTGTAAATTGAGGACAATAATATATGCAGCCACTGAGAATCAGATAATAAAATGTATGCAAATTTCCTGGAGCATAATATTTGATAGTAGTTACCCACTCCCTTCCAATGGAAGTTTTAGAAATTCCATTCCTATATATATTTAAGTATAAGTCCTATTATAATAACAAACATTGAAGAGTATCTATACTTAATGTAGAAATCAATGTATAGAGTTCTGGCAAGATGGTGGACTGGGCAGAAAGACTGCACAGACCCTCTTCAACAAAGAAAAGGGAAACCAATTAACACAGACACAAAGATAATCTTGGACCCCTGAGCCTTGAAGGGAAGGATA